GTGAGGCACAGGGGAATTTCAGGGGCCCAGCACCCCTGGGGTCCCGGATGGGGTGGGGCTCCAGAGCTGCCGAGCCAAGCCCCGCCCCCTCCCTAGAAGCTGTGGGGGCTGGAGCACCTCCAGTTGCCATGGAGACAGCCAGAGCCAGCTCCGGTAGCCCCTGGCAACCAGGCTGCTGCCAAGATGAGCTTTAGAGGACAGGGCAGCCCCTCCACCCGTTTCTTGGGAAGGCGAACCTCGAATTGGGGCGAGAGGCCCACCCGGGCTGAGGAGAGAGGGCCCAGGGCTAGGGCCCGACCTCCGTGGATTCCAAAAGGGGGGGGGCACGTGACCTTGCTGTCCCTCCATCCGGCTCCCTCAGGAACGTGGGGAGAAAGCCCGCTCTGTCTCAGTGGTCCCAGAGCGAACACATCCCCCTCCTGGGCTCTAGTCCTCACCCTCCTGGACCTCCCACTTCTCAGCTGGAAATTGAGAAGGTGAGGGAGCAATAAAGCCCGAATTGGGACCAGGGATGACTATGGAGGGGACCCTGTCATGCCCGCCTCCCCCTCCCTGAGCAGGGTGACAGGAGGGGTCTCTTCCCCACGCGGGAGACGTAGGGATGGGGGTGGGAACAATAGCAGCCAGACAACACCCTATCCCCAACTTAACAAGGGCCAGCCTCTTCCTGGCCAGCAGAGAAAGGCCCCTTTGTTGGCGCTGGGCGCTCTGTCCCTGCACCCCTGCCACCTCCAGCCCGACTGGGGCGGAGTGACTCCAGCTGGTCCACGGGGAAGTCGCAGCCGAGCTAGGGGGCCAAACGCCTTTCCACAGCTGACCCCTCCCCAAGGATGGGAGGGAGACCAGGTGCCAATGTCACTCCCACGGTCACTCTCCAGGCGGGGCGGTGGCCTCCCCAGGCTCGCTGGAAACTGGGAAATTCTGTCGCAGCCCCTTGGAGGTAGCGCAGTTCCGCTTCCAAGACCCAGGCCCTGCCGCCTCCCCAAGGCTGGGACCACCAGCGTGGCGAGGGAGCCTAGGCCTTTGCATCCCTCGGTCGGAGGAGGGCGCTGACGGCAGACAGGCGCGAGGCAGCGGCCGTGAGCTCCGGCCGCTTCCCCGTTAACAGAGAACAAGGCAGCCCGGATGCTACGTGTACCTGGGACCCCGCTTCAGCTCGGGCTCTGAAGGGGGCTCCGCATGATCCGGAGGCCCCTGAGCGCGGAGCCCTCCCAGACCGCGTTCTCCGCTCCTGTGACCCTGGCTCGGCTCCCTGTCCCATACTGACCGGAATGGGTCGTGTTCCGGTTACCCCAATCACGAACACCCCACCCGTGTCGGGGTCTCCACGTCGCGGGTTTCCTCCGGCCCGGCCACACCCCCGCATCCACCTCCCACCCCCACTTCGCACCAACGGGGGCACGCGGCAGCCCAGGACCCCGCGTCCCTTGCTCCTCCAGCCCGAGGCCCCCCACGTTCAGTGACCCAGCCCGCAGAGACAGAAAGGGGCGCGCGGCGGCCCGGAGTCCCCCAGCCCGGGGCTCCCACGTCTCGGCCCCCAGCTGCACTGACCCGAAAGACGCGCGCGGTGGCCGCGGAGCGCAGCGCCGTCCAGCCGAGCGCTCCGAGCGCCAGCAGAAGCAGCTCCGGAGGCGCCAGGTGCGCGTGCTCGGCCAGGCCGCGGCGCGCCAGACCCCAGCCGCAGTCCGCACAGCCCTGCGCTGCCGCCAGCGCGCTGCCCCAGCCGCGCTGCACTAGCTGCGCGTAGCTCGGCATGGGCTCAGGCCCCGCCGGGCCCGCCACGGTCCCTGCCGCCGCCATGCCGCCCGCTCGCCGGCCGACCCAGCCGCCTGTGCCTGCCCGCGGTGGCCGCCGGAGCCGCTCGCCCCGCGTCACGCGCCGCAGCTGGGCCAGGGGCGCGCCGGCCAAAGCGCTAGGGACGGAGGGGCGGGGCAGACGCAAGCTCCGCCCCGCCGAGGACATGGGGCCCGGGAGCGGAGTCCACGATCTGGGGGCGCGCAGGTGCTGGGTCTCTAGGAGGCAGCGGCGGGGGAACACGGGAGAATAAGCCCTGGCGTTGTTGCACCGTCCTGGAGGCAGGCCCGCGCTCAGCCCCATTTCCTAGCGGAGGAAACCCAGGCGTGGAGCTCCTGGGGGCTCCCCCATCCCGACGATGTGTCCTCGACGAGGGGCGCGGTGGGCACCAGGAGGCAGTACCCTTGACCTGGGACTCCCTCCTTCCCGGCCCCCCAGCCTGCCCCGTCCCACCCTCGGACCCGACCTCTCCGAGGCCTGGCACACGTGCGTCCAGTGGCCTCCCTACATTCAGTGTAAATGAAAGCCTATGTTCTCATTCTCAAAAGGACACTGCCCATTCAAGGATGTAGAAGAAATACCTGGTGGAGACTCTACCCTCCATCCCAGGGTTCCTGGACTGGGAACCCTAGTGTGGAAACCTCCCAGGCTTGCTCCTCTGTGCCTGCCCAGGCTGTGCAGGGGTTCCAAGTGTGAGGTGGGGGTTGCAGGCATGAGGGGGCTCACTGGAGGAGTGACTAGGGGGTCTGAGAGGCTAAGGGCTGAGGGGCTGGGACCTGAGAGCCACATGTGCCCTCTGTGACCCTGAGGACCTGGCAGACCTCCCCTGCACCGGGTCTGCAGGGAGGCCAAGGGAGTGGGCACCCACATGATCAGAGGCTGGCTTCAACGCCAGGCTTCATTGGAACCCCNTGAAGAACAAAAGGACAGCAACTTGTCTATTCCCCTTCCCCCAATTCCCCAGCGCTGTTCCCATCCCCCAATTCCCCAATAAAAATCTTAATAAAAAAAAGAAAGAAAAAGAAAATGCAAAACTCCCCATATCAGATCTCATCTCCCCCTACTTTTAACATGTTCAGGGGCTCCCAAAGCTCAACAGTAAAACACACACTTCCAGCTGGGCCCTCCCTCAAGTTTCGTCCTCAGCTGCGTCCTCAGCTATGTGGGAATGCTGCATTCAGTGGAGCCCTCCCCACCCTTACACACACTTACTTGCCAAGTGCCTCTGTCCCTGTTTTGAAGAAAGGCACTCAGAGCCCGGTGTGGAAACGGGACACCAAATTTTCCACCTATCGCACCAGCAATACTTACCATGGCTGAGCATCCTACCTCTAGCCTCAGACCCCAGATCTGGGGCAGGAGGAAAAGGGGTGCATATAATTCACTTTTGAGACTTCGTCTGTCCCTCCCTGCACATTGGAGGGCCAGACTGTGTCCCGGACCTCCAGCCTCCTCTCCACACACTTCCTACCTGCTCTGGATGCCCCATATCACCCTCTCCTCCCCGCCTCATTCCCCTCCCCACACTTCCAGTATCAGCCCTTGGGCTCCCCAAACCTAGCTCCTGGTCTCCCCCAGACCTGCCCCACGGAGAGGCGCCAGACCCTGGCATCATACCCACCCTCCTCTCTCACACCCACCTCTGGTTTGGCAACAAATCCTATTAGCTCTGCCTTCAAAACATTTCTCAAATCAGCCACTTCTCTCCTCTGCATGGCCT